GCTAGCTGGTCCTTTCGATTTGAAGAAATTGTGGAATTGCTCATATTTCCTTATCCCAACTTTCCTTCCCAACCAAGTTTACCGAGTGAACACAGTTGGACCTACAAGCCAAGGAAAAGTGTCAACAACCAAATCTCAATCTGTGAGTATAATTTTCAATTTCACAAATTTCCAACTGAGCTAAGAGGGAACAACTGTTCTCAACGATATCTCGTGCTTTCAAGAAGATATGTTGATTGTTCGTTCATTATGGGCTTTGGTTTCATTATTGGCTTCTATAAGAGCTAGAATCATTTTTGGGTGGGATCATCTGTTAGCATCATGTTAGCGTTGTCATAAAGAAATTGCACAAAAGCAATCTTATCCATGCGTGTAGAGGAGGTATTCTGTCTTATTGCTGAAGTTATTATCATCATAGCATCTTCATGACTACAACAGAAGCCCAGGGATGGACATAGGTTGGAAAGATTCTTTACCCAAATTTGCAGTATAAATATATACCAACCGAGGTCATTAGTGAAGATATTTCTGAATTATATCTGATAACTGATAAGCTGATAAGCATTACTTCAATCTACTAAGAAAATAATACATTTTCCAAACCTACACGGTTACGGAGTTATCAGTGAGAATCGGAAGAAAATCGCAGGTTTTCGGCCACCAGTTGCTTAGCTCAGTTTCACGAAGGTTATAAATCAGGATTTGGACTCACAGTGACGGTACGAAACTCATTTTCAAAAATCAGTAATGGATATATAATTTAATGTGAGTTTATGCCTTTTTGTGACCGTTGACAGAAATATGCAGAAATGTAATATTGTAATAAATAGTTATGATCTGCCAATATAGTCATTTATTATTATCATTATCATCAACTTCGAATGTTGTGTTGGCCAAGCCATGTCTTCAAATAACCACACAGTGAGGTAAATGATCATTGGGTCCGAGACTCATATGTCCTGAGAAGGTACAATTAGCCAAGATATTCGTCTCACGTGGAGCAGAAAATTTCATAACGAAAATCATTTCACGTGGATGCTCAAGGTGTACTACATCAAATTCAATCTGTTATATCAGCCTGAGAATGAGAAATCTGAGACGACTCTCAGAAGTTGAGAAACTTGTGCGAGCTAAGGACTAACGAGGTCTTACCTTTTAACGTGTGATTCCTAACATGTTTGCAGAATCATTCCAGCTTTAACCAGATAAATTCTCTCGAGAAAATATCTGATCAAGGCGAGAATCGAACCAACGGTCTTCCGATCGTGAGTCGGGCGCACTACCACCGCGGCCAATTCCACAACATGAATAGTTATTATAAATTCGACACTTCACATTTCAACAGCGGATTCAATATCCTTCGGAGCGTAAATAATATTATTATTTAGAGTGCGCCAGTGTCTTCAACCAATAATCACCTTCCACAACATGAGGTAAGTGATCATTGGTTCCTAAAAAATATCCCTAAGCAGACGCAATGAGACAAGAATAACAGTATTTTGAAAGATTTCTGTCGTATTACGGCAAACCGGTATAATCTTGCAATTCCAGAACAAGGCAGGCATCGTTCCACCAAGAACTTCCACAATTAGAACAACCATTGTAACAGAGTGGTCCAGACATTGTCTGTGGATTTCGGAAAGAGATTCATATTTCATTCGTTTCTTCCTCTTTTCGGACAACATTCGCCTAACCCGGAGCTGAAAACTCCATGACAATAATCTTCTTACTTTGATAGTCGAGGAGGACACCATAAGGTTTATCACCTGGTATCAGCCTGAGGGTATAATTAGTATTATTGAAATTATAATGACTTCAATTTTAAATCCCTCGCATCCAGATCAATTGGTCAAAATGCGTGGAACCTTATAAATTTGAAAATTTTGCTTCTAATCAAATGCTTTCGTGTAGAATAATTTAAAAATAGCACCAAATATTTTAACAAAATCAAAAAATCGAGTGTTATGAAATGATGTATTTTGAAGAGTTCTTTACTTGTTACATGTCAGTTTGTAAACCAATGCAAGGTGACAACAATTGAAAAAAATTCGTTTAGCCAATTTACTCATAGTACTCAGAATCTGAGACGTTATACAGTTGAGAATTCAAGAAACTATAAATTGTTATATTGAATTTAAAAAAATAATATCACGGAAAAAAAGATTTGTTACTTCAAAGAAATTCATTTACTCTGATTTATTTCATCACTTTGATTAAATATCATTCATTCCAAACGACGTGTGTATTGTATCGATTAGATGATAATTTTGCGGAGACAAAATGAAATTCTTATTTTACTTTCAATTGAAGAGGTCTTTTACTTAGTCAAATGAATTGTGGATCATTTCANTATATATAATATAATTATTGTGATTCTTATATAATCAGCAATGATTATTGAATAAAAAAATTAGTTAGCACCTTAACTATTTTATTAAAGGGAAACTGCTGGAAGGTAGGTTCGACCACATGGAAAATAAATCTTCGATACCTACCGTGCAAAAAAGGAACAGGTATTTGAAATAATTAATTTTATTCCCTCTCAAGTATCCACTTACCTACTACTTTTATCGTTTGGTATTCAATTTTCATTTTGTATATATCTGAGTCTGCTCTGTTTAAAAATCTGTTTAAAATCTGTTTATCCGTTAATCAGCTGTCGCCCCCATACGAACGACAACTCTCAGAAGTTGAGAAACTTATGCGAGCTAAGGACTAACGAGGTCTTACCTTTTAACGTGTGATTCCTAACACGGTTGCAGAATCATCCCAGTTCCAACCAGATGAGTTCTCTCGAGAAAAATATCTGGTCGAGGCAGGAATCGAACCCACGGTCTTCCGATCATGAGTCGGGCGCACTACCACCGCGGCCAATTCCAATTCAAAATAACAATTCTCAAGTTGAGAGTTTACTTATAAGTCCATCAAAAACAACATGGAGTTGAAACATAACTACTTGAAACTAATCAAAATGACGCAGCCTGTAGCTGTTTTCTAAACATTTTTCCTCAATCAAATATTCGACTGAAGTATCACTTATATATCTACAAATACTCTCAGACGCATTACTATATCCATTGAAAACAACTTCGACTTTAATGCTCTGGTTATTATGTGAATATATTATGTACTGTTCAAATTGGAAGAGGTATTTTTCAAGGAGAGATGTTTTTTAAAAAAATATTTGGCTTTCTACTTCTCTATCTTTGTGCAAAAAATGTGGGAAGCGTCCAAAATGCAATTAATTTCAAAATGAACTCTTGATAAAGATATGTATATCATGCAAAAAGCCCTCTCGAAACAACTACTTTCATATGAACATTGGAGAAGTAGAGAGCCTAAAATTAATTTTTCTCAATATACTATTTTCATTTTAATTGATTTAAGAGAAAAATTTTCGGAAAAAGATATACGAAACTGCTTTTTTTATATGAATAACATGCATACGACTATTGTTTGGACGATATACATAATTTTGTCTCCGCTTCGAAAAGTTTCTATCATTAAATAATGTATAAAACAAGAATTTGAGAAAAAATTAAGCAATTTCTGGGGACTTGCTATGCTTGTGGAGACATCACTTGATATAGCAGTAGCGTAACTGCTGAATATACATAATATCGTTTACTGATTTCAAGTTTGATTACTGGCGAAGAAAGTGATAAATCGGTTCGATGATGACTGCAAACGGGCCTCATTTCGATGAACGTGGGGTTACAAATAAAGAACATCTAGAAAGATCCAATTTCGAGTTTGCAGGAAATGTGTTAGCTGAAGTATGGAGTTCGATGGAGTTCGATGGATGTTGATGGCTATCATTTTGTTGCAAAATATGTTGGACCAAGCGAACAAGATCTTCCTCATTTCTCAGGCATTGAATGGTATACAGAACATGTGCGTGAAAGCCAATACTTGCTTGGAATGTAGAAACATAGAATGCTATCGTTCAAGAAGTGACCTATTTAGATTACTAGACAACAGGTTTCTTCCACCACGAGTAAAACTTGGTTTAGGATGATGGAGGGCAATTTCTCTGCTTTTTTCATATGAATAACATGCATACTATTGTTTGGACGATATACATAATTTTGTCTCCGCTTCGAAAAGTTTCTATTATTAAATGATGTATAAAAAAAAAATTGAGAAAAAATCAAGCAATTTCTGGGGACTTGGTATACTTGTGGAGACATCACTCGATATAGCAGTAGCGTAACTGCTGAATATACATAATATCGTTTACTGATTTCAAGTTTGATTACTGGCGAAGAAAATGTTTCTTTTTTATGAAAATTGGGAAATGTAACCTTTCATTTTTTTACCACTTGTATTTGTCACTTATGTTTGTAGTTTCGTCCTATACGGACATTGTCAAACGAATACAATAAACTTTTGAAAATATTCGTATATGACGAAACTGCGGTAATGTTTGTTACAAATACAAGCGATAAAAAAACATAGGAAGTTTTATTTCCCAATTTCCATGATGATCTCTCACCACGTAGTAATGGCTACATCCATCAATTTATTATTTCTTTTTCTTCAATTTACATTCAAAAATAAATCGTTTTTACATAAATAATTTGAACGCTATCATCAAACTGATTTAATTTTCATTATGTTCCTGTTATTTTTTGGAAAATTACTGAATATTCAGATAATTGGTGGGTTAAATACCACGAAAGGTTATTAATAAATACGACTCCAAAAGCAGCATTCAGTGTTTAGTTAATTTCTGTTTCGTAGTTTCTCAGTATCATTGGAAGACCAACTTTAGACAAAACAGCTATACATTTTGGTTCAAATTCCACAGGGTCAGGTGTCTTGTCACATTTTTCAACCTCAAACCGTGAAATGATATGAACTAAAGCCACTTGCGTACTCAACAGTCCAAATCTTTCACCTGGAAAAACGGAAATAATATTTATTATTTAACATTTTATGGTAAGATTTTCACTGAACAGTTCACAAAATCCCAACATGTATTTCACTATACAATGGTATTCATACTACCTCAATTCCATTGAAATAATGCTTTATATGAATCAACAATTTGAAAAACATGATATTCTACCTTACTAATAATTGACAATTTCACCTGAGTATAGGTATAAACTACTTAGGTATTTCAACATTAGGAAAGAAATTACTGAGTGTTCGTATTAACTAATTACCAATGTCAAAATTTAAAAAAAAATCAATAAAGGAAAATTATTCAATTAATTTCGTAATTCAGTAAATGTTCCGAATCTTCAAATCTATTGATCTCCAGGCATCCCAAAAGATTTAGTTTCGAACACTTTCCTTTCATATGTCACAGTCTGCCAAAAGACAGTTTAGGAAGAGGAATTGATCTTCACATTCAAAAAACTACTTCTACATTCTCTTTCATTCTTTAGGAAAAAGTTCTTCCTGTTTGGTCAATAAGAAGTTAACTTATATACACCCCTGATCTATAAGACACCAAAGTTTATGTCTCTATCGTGTCTAATAAAGTCGCGAAGAATGATGAGCATGTGAATAGTTTATTGAATATGATGATCAATTTTGGCCTAGGGGCATGAGCTCAACTGCCACTATGACGCATTACATCTGGAAGAGAGAGGTTTGAAACTCTATATTTTGGAATGCTTGAAAACCAATTTATTAAAGAATTCGACTGAATGAATAGAATTGAATAATTCCTTTTTAATAAATAAATTTGTTTCGTAATGTTGAAATTGGTAATTGATGAATTCGGGAACTCACTAATTTTTTCTACTACATGTTCATGTTTTTACCAAAACGCAGATGAAATTTTCAGTCACTAAGTCGCTAGAAAGTGATATTATTCAAATTATTGATTCAAAGTGTCTGCCAATTTCATCACATATGCTCTTTTTGTGTATTTTCAATTCAATGCCAAATTCATTCAATAATTGTGTTATAATTATTCCTAATTGAAATAAAATAGTAGACATATCATTCTTTCGACTTGAGTCAGCTGTTTCCAATTCAGGCGTACCTCCCAAGTGGATAATTTTTGTGTTTTGAGAATGTAAAAGGATCACTTTCCGAAATATCAACCATCTACAGAAAGCTAAATATAGAAATTTCATTATTTCCATTCAATTAGTAGACGAAATTTGTGAATACGACAAGTTACTGACTAATTGGAAAGTGGTTTACATTATGCAGTAACTTCTCGTGATGAATTTTTCAGTTTCCTTATTGTTTCACTTCAGAAGATTCTCCAATAATTAAGCTTTCTTCCTATTTCAGATTGTGGAATGACTTGGGCTGCTAATACATCTCTACTGATGACCTAAATAATTGATGTATCGTCGATTTATCTAGATGGTAAAAATCAAATATCCCAAGTATTGATTTGAAAAACATAATAGATCTATAACCGAGCAGATGCCGACAGTGGCCACATATGTACAATGGTGAAACTGAAACAAGATATACCAGTGAAGCCAAAAAAAGAAACAAAAGAAAACATATCAAATAAGACATTTCCAAAATGAAAGATAGCAGGAAAGATAGGAGAAGAAATAAATGAAAGATTGCAGAGAACGATTTTTGACAGCATAGAAGAAGAGTGATTGCAGATTCTAACAGCCATGATGAAATTGGAGATACAGAAATTTGGAAAAGATAAATCGGTTCGATGATGACTGCAAACGGGCCTCATTTCGATGAACATGGGGTTACAAATAAAGAACATCTAGAAAGATCCAATTTCGAGTTTGCAGGAAATGTGTTAGCTGAAGTATGGAGTTCGATGGAAGTTGATGGCTATCATTTTGTTGTAAAATATGTTGGGCCAAACGAACAAGATCTTCCTGATTTCTCAGGCATTGAATGGTATACAGAACATGTGCGTGAAAGCCAATACTTGCTTGGAATGTAGAAACATAGAATGCTGTCGTTCAAGAAGTGACCTATTTAGATTACTAGACAACAGGTTTCTTCCACCACGAGTAAAACTTGGTTTAGGATGATGGAGGGCAATTTCTCAATCTTCCACTCAATTTAGCTCTATGTTAAATGTTTTACTCGAAGATTTCCTACAAATACCGATGGTAAAATTGAAGCTATCAAGTCGAACATGCAAAACGTATCATGCTTCCGTCAAGTAACCAAATCGTCACATAGAAAAGATCCATAAAAAAGTAAATACGAACACTAATATCAAAGTTTGGCCTATAAAGGTGCGTATTCACCAAAAAAGCGAGCACGAGTGCACAAGAGTGAACGAGAATTCTACATCAATAATCAATAATGAGCGAACACGAGCAAACATACACGAATGCTCGCTCAAGTTTGATTACTGGCGAAGAAAGTGTTTCTTTTTTATGAAAATGTGAAAATGTAACCTTTTATTTTTTTTACCACTTGTACCATGCTCATGCTCGGTCGTGCTCGCTTTTTTGGTGAATACCCAACTTTAGACATATTTACCGTGCACGCACTGCTCGACTACGAACTTGAAGATATTCGCTCTGGTGTGGACGAGACATCAATATATCGAGCAAACATGAGCGAACGCGAGCAAACATGCACGTATGCTCGCTCATACTCGCTCGTGCTCGCTTTTTTGATAAATACGCACCTCAAGAGTCGCTGCTCGTCGTGCATTATTTAAAATTTAGAGGACCACGATGTTGAATGGCTCGATGAAAATGACGTAGACATTACAAAATCGGATGGATGTGAACAGACACACAGCATTGAGCAGCAAATATTCAGTGTAATTGGAAACTTAGAATCATGGATTCGGGTGTCATAGACTGTTAATTGAAATCAATATGTTCGTAATATTACTTGAGATTATAATATTTGTGCCTCACTCTTTGTTGGATACCGGGTAAATAAAGTTTGTTTAAATGAATATTATGTGCGTTAAAATCCTCTATCCTGAATCTATTTCTTTATTTCTAGAATCATAACTGCTGCTCATGAATCAATAAAATAAAACAAAATACATTAAAAGAAAAATTCATATTACAATGTTTACGTAAATATGGGAGGGGGGTGAGAGCTTTGCTTACTTTTGCTGACAAGTAACTTGGTGAAGTAATTTGGCTTGGAATCTCTTGATTTTTAATTTTCATTTTTTTGTTTAATTGTACTATTTTCAGCTATTCTCTTTNACTACTTCTACAAAAGAGGTAAATAACATTCAAAAAAAGAGAAAACCTAGGATAACCTCAGCTCTAGTAAACTCTGTCAACAGAAGGAAAATGCTATTCAATGGAAACTCAATAAAGAAAATCATTCTCTCTTGAGACAATTCAGAACTTATAGAAATGGATTGAATACATTGTTGAAGAAATCTAAGGCTGATTATTAGGTATAAGAAAGAAATATATACAAATAAAAAAGTGCACTACTACTATGGAAAACAGTAAATGCTACTTGTTCTAAACCATCCAAATGTACGGAAGTAACAGAAATTGAAAATGGGAACAACAAAACCACAACTGACCCTATAGTGATTGCGGAAAATTTTTTTGGGCATTATACTAAAATCGGTGAGGACCTAGTACTTAAAATAGCAACCCCTTGAAATTAAAAACAGCTCAGAAATGTTAACCAAAATTCAATATATTTAACAGAAGCAAATATAGGTTGAGTTGAAAACATCATCAACAACTTGAAAAAACAAATCACACGTTTAGATAAGTGTGATTTATGTTTTTTGGAACTCACACATTAGGAGGTTAATACAAAATATTTGAAGCCTATTATCTAAATTCAAATACTTAAAAATAATTCTGACTTGGAAGATTCGTAGCAAGTTATTTCTCACTATAAAAAAAGCAGAAATTTATTTCTTTTGGTCGATTCGACTAACCCATTCTATGACTAGCTGAAATTATATTTGTTGATCGTGATACTCAATCACCCCGAAACCGGTCTATCGGTTGGTCGGATCGACCAAACGAAATTAATATCTGCTTTTCATAATGGAAAATAACTTGCGAATCTTCCAAGTCGAAGACGTTGCACAGGTGCCTGATGGTTTTACTTCAACTCTCTGCGCGGCATCAACTGGGTGGGTTGTAGTTTTTCCGTTGGGTATCTGCCACAAAAGGAGGAAAATTCATGGACAGAACACTCAAATATATATATA